CTGGGGGCGCAGGGCGCGGGGCTCGGACCGGCTTCCCGGAGGCGAGAGGCCGGCGCATCCTCCCCAGCGTGGGGCTCCGGCGACTGCCAGCCCTCGGTGGTCACCGCGGCAAGTGGGAGGCGTTTTCCTCCGACAGAAAAGGGGCTGAAAACAGAAAGGAAAAAGGAGAAAAAAGAGGCTTTCTTCCCCAAGGAGGACTGGTTTGAATTGCTTTCATCTGGAGTGGCTGTGATTCAGCGTCCCCCTTAGCAGCGGGCATGACAGGCAGAAGGCGAGGGAAAAAACGCGAATGAATCAGATGTGAGTAACAAAAGTTTAGAAAGAGCTGGGCTCAGATTCAGATTCCCCCCATCTTAAAAATAGCATATAATCAAGAGAGGACATCGCTGCTTTCATCTAGAAATGCAGATGTCTGTTGTTTTCCAATCTTTTTCCCCCTTTTAATGGCGTGCAGTTACCCTCGCCACTGGACAAAATTCAGCTTTTGGCCCAGGCTTGTGCCCACACAGCCCACAGCTCAGCGGTAGCTATTAATTTAAAGGGAGATGGGTGCACATGATAGATGGTACTCAAGAAGACGGTCCAATTATAAAATCTTGCCCCTCCCCAGTTCCCAGGCACTTGCTTGTTATCAAAACAGGGATATTCAATTGGAAGCGTAGCTCATCACAGCTCATCTGACTTAGGACTTCCTAGGTTTGGGGTTTTGTTTGCGTTTTCTGTTGCTGGACCCTTTGTTCCTTCTCGCTTTTTGACTTTCAGGTTTTTCCACAGCTCAGTTCCTGTCCCTCACAGGTACAAGACTTAATCTGGCAAAGTAACTGGGCCCGCGAGATAGCTCAGAGGTCTGAAGTGGCTGCTTAGTGACTGTGGTTAGATCCCGGCAACACAGGCTGTGCCAGCCCCGCCCTCAAGGTGGGCTGAGCTGGCGACAACAAAACAAAACAAACAAACAAGTTAACCTGTAAGATGTGGGGAGAAAAGTTCTTTATGTAAATGCAAAAATATGAGGGACTGTGAATTAAAGGTGAATCTGTAGGCCATCCCTCCATTAACCTATTAGAATCTTTTCAAAGGGTTTTTTTAGCCTGCAGGTACATGTGTCCTAATTTCTTATTCCTGTCAACCTTTCGCTCCAATGAACATAAATCGCTACCTGGTTGCCAGAGCTAATGGAAAAATTTAATCTCTATTTTCTTCTGCCCTTTGTGGTATTTGCTAATGGCACCCTCTCCTTTCTTTTTAGAATTTACCTCCATTGTTTGCTGTGCTAGTTCTTCATCTGTGGAGTTCCTGACACAAGGGTGAGGGATAGCAAGCAACACTGGGGCTATTGTAAAACCACAGTTCAAGATCTTCCAGAGTAGCTTGGCCTTAATCTAGCTTCTGTTGGTCACCAGAAGATCTCCACCTCAGTTTTATCTCAAATCCCGAGGTAAAGAATTTGACTGACTCATCACCGCCACCTCTCGGTTGACCAGCCCTTAATAGGTTTAAATTGATTGACTAACTCTGGCCACTGTTTAGGAGAAACCCTTTCTGAGATCCGGGTACCTGGTGAAGTATCCTCACTGACAAGGCAGGATGGGCTTTACTGGTAGTTGCCAAAGTCAGTGAATTTGTGTCTATCTGTGCTGGATAAACAAGAAAATCTCTTCTTCCCTGTATCAGCCTCATTTAGGTAATGCATTCGGCTGAGAGTAGTGTAATTGGTTTTGCATTTTCTTAACCATCATCTTTTCCCGGTTAAGCTTTCATAAAAGTACACCAAGTGTCCTTGATGGAATTTGTGAAGGAACCTTACTTCCTGTTTGTTCTTACATTACTGGAAAAGCACCTAACTAGAGTGGGTGAGGAGGACTCATACACTTCAAAGCCTGTGATATAATCAGATTTCATTTTTAAGAAGAAAAACTTGAGAGAATGAATGGAAAAGACAGGTGAGTCTGAAAGGTGAGACCAATGTAGACAGCAGTGGAAACAAACAGAAGGCGACTGTACCTGGAGGTGAATTACTAGGTAGGTCACAGTCCCCTCCTGTACAAACTTCTACAAACTTGGTGGTTAGACTGGAAGTTACTCTCTTCCTCCTCTGAGGTTGGAAATCTGAAATGAAGGTGTGAGCTATGCTTCTGGAAATTGGAGGGGGAGAACCTGTTTCCTTGCGTTCCCAGCTTCTTTGTAACACCTACATTCCTTGGCTTGTGGTTCCGTCCTCTGTCATCAAGCCAAGAGCAGAACACCTCTGTCTCACTCTCTCTCCTCTCTTACTGTCTGTCCTTTCCTTTCGTCCCTCTCTTTTCCAGCCTTCCTCTCTGTTTCCTTCTACTTCATGGTGAAGGGTGTATCTCTTTGAGAATAGAAATTGATATGGACATGTAATTGTAACCATATGTTAGAGATTGAATGGAATTAAAGTACTTGTAGAAAGAGATGACTTCATTACTTGGTTTCATTACTTGTCAGATTGTCATGGGGATTACGGGTTAGACTATAAGATGGCCAAAATGGTGACTTGTTACCTCAGCTAAATGTACATTCATCCTATGACCCATGCAACTGAAACCAGGGTGTTAACACTTAAGAAAGCCTGGCTTACATCTGCACTTCTTGGGGTTAAATCCCTGTCTGGAAGTCCCTGGCCACTTATTTGTTATAACAAGTGGAAGCATTTTACCAAGTTTGAGAACTACATACCTAGACCAGCATTTCGCAAATTGGCCAACCAGGTAACACCTGTCAGAGAGGATGCTGGGAAGACAGTTGTGCCACATGCTCAATAAGGTACGTGCAACATAGGTGTGATTGCACACCAGCCTACCCAAGGTTCTCCTACCCAGAAATGGACGACGAGTGAGTCAGAGTCTGTCAGCACTGGTAAATTCTTCCTGAGGAAGTCTGTTACGACTGATACATAGGTAGTACTTACAAGAATAAATTATGAACATCTGAAATATAATTTACAAGGTTCTTTATTATGTACTTCTCCCTACCTGTCCTCTTCTTCCCCACTGCTCCCAGTCTGTGTTTTAACCATAATAAACTTAACAGCTTCCTGACCTCTCTAATGATGAGCCAGGTCTTTTGTAACATTTCGCTGAGATTGGTGTTCACCTTCAGAACCCCACTGTCTGACTTCTGCCTTGCCCTGTGCCCTTTGAGCCCAATGTTGTGTTGCTGGGGTCAGACTAGGCCCTCGAAGGGTATTAGTTGATATAAAAATGCAATGAATGAATAACACTATAAATTGAATAAAGCTACCTACTCCTCTTCATGCCTTTCGTTGCTCTTTTTACTTCTGATATAACCAACGGAGATTTCCATTCTTTTAATTAATAACGTAAATTTTGCAGGCAATAACATAATTTAAAAAATGAACAATGGTACCAGGATTACGAATATCAAGGTGACATGATCTTGACCTTCAGTGAGCTCATAGTCTCTCTAAGGAAACCTGCTTTAAGAAAGAAATATGAGAGGCCGAGGAGATGGCTCAGTAGAATAAGCGCTTCCCTGGCAAGTGCAAGGGCCTGAGTTCAATCCCTGGTTCTGCCAAAAAAAAAAAAAAAGAAAAGAAATGAGACCAGTTATGTCTGTTCAATTTCCTTTCGCTCCTCTTTCTCATGAACAGAAATATGATTTCATGTCAAATTAGAAAGTTTCACTTTATTTATTTATTTATTTATGTATTTATTTATTTTTTAGAAAGTTTCACTTTATAACCTCTGTAAATGATAGTGACTAACTAGGCCAATGATTTGTGAGCAGAAGTTGTGTGTTGTGTGAAATTCCCAGAAATGCTTCTTTGTGTGCTGACACTGGGGTACTGACACTACTGATTCAAGCCCTGTTCCTGTCGGGAACGTGGATGCAATGTCTCGAAACTGTCTTGAAGCCCAAAGTCATACACTAGGGAAGAGGGCAGGAAGAACAGATCCATCCTAAGAACCCTGCACTATATAACTTGGAATTTCTTTTATGTTAGAGAAAAATAGATCTCTAGTGAAATTTAAACACAGTTGCCAACTGATACAACAAATTATGTCTGTCTCTCTGTCTGTCTGTCTGTCTATCAGGCCAGAGAGATGGCTCAGTGGAATAAGCACTTCCCTGGCAAGTACAAGGGCCTGAGTTCAATCCCCAGTTCCGCAAAAAAAAAAAAAGCCAACCCAATCTATCTATCTATCTATCTATCTATCTATC